CATGTAATCTGCAACGTTCTGCCCCATGGTGTGCTTCCAGTGTACCTCAGTACTGAATTCTTTGCTTTCTGAATCATAGCCAGGGAACCGTTTCGTACTGAAATAAAGTTTTCCGTATTTTAGTATATACTGGTTGAAATCAGTTTACTAGCAGGAATTCATTTCAGTAGCTGCCATCAGAGTCTTTTTCTTATGTGGAGACTTCTGATCTGAATTCCTTTGAATCCTTGGGCTAATGGATCTCTCCACAGGAATCTTTAACCTGGTGCCCATGGACCCCCCCCCCCCCGCCAAGTGATTCTTACATAAAATTCAAGATGAATAGATAAATACACAACACTAACCTGAATGTTATTATTTTTCTCATTTTAAAAATGAGAAAAAATTAGGAGTAACTGAAACTTTGTCACCAGTGGAAATCAAATATTTTCATATCACATCAGTCACAGATTATTTGAAATATTGTTTACTGTTATTGCTACTTCAAAATTACAGTTATTAGACTTCCCACTGGTCTTATCATTTAATGTGTTAATAAAAAACACATATTATCATATTATTTGTTAGATTTTTTTTTTAAAGTAACTGCATTTTAATATAATTGGTTTTCTTTGCCTGCTAATGGGTTTTTATAGATTTAAAAACAATTCTGAGGAAGGAAGAATCAAGAGGGAGGAGACTATGTATACCTGTCACTGATTTCATGTTGACATATGGCAGAAACCAACACAATATTGTAAAGCAATTATCTTCCAATTAAAAATAAATGAATTTAAATTTAAAAAAATTCTGAGAGGACATCACGGGCTTACTCAAGACTCCCAACAGGTTCCAGGACATAAAAAAGACAGAGCTTAAAAAAAAAAAAAAAGAAGAAGACAGAGCTCCTGCAAAGAGCTGGAAAGTGAGCTAGCCATTTATTTAATAAATGATTTACTCTTTGGTCACAAAGTTTTACATAACTTTACAATATCACCAAAACTTGTACATGTAAGTCGTGGAGAAAGTCTGAATGGAAATATTCATTCATGGAGGCCTTAAACAAATGTTCTTTGGGCACCTACTATGTATAAAGCTCTGGAAGTGTCCTTGTCCTGGAGGCAGGACAGATCAGAAAGCTGGTTTCACGGAACTGACCTCTCGAAGGGTCAAGACAATAGAACAGTCATCTCACATATAATTAGGCAACACAAGGCAGACAGGGCCTGTGGTGTGCTCTGAGAATTTCCTGACCAAAGACTACTGAGGTATGAAGCTTGTGTGTTCAGTAGTGTCTGACTCTTTGCGACCCCATGGACTGTAGCCCACCAGGTGGGTTACTCTGTCCAAGGGATTTCCCAAGCAAGAATACTGGAGTGCGTTGCCATTTCCTTTGCCAGAGGATCTTCCTGATGCAGGGATTGAACTTGAGCCTCCTCTATCTCCTACACTGTAGGTGGTGTCTTTACCCGCTAAGCCCTGAAGGATGGGTAGGCATTAAATAAGCAAACAGGGGGTGGGGAGTGAATGGAATTGATTTACACAGGCTCACAAGAGTTGACTGGTAGATTTGAAGAAATTCTGTGATCAGTCATTAAACACAGCCATTATTAAAAAAAAAAAAAGCTAAGAAACTGACAATTAAATGAATTACATTTAAAACAAAGAAAAGAAATGCCTCTAGCACTGTCCTGGACGTCACAACCCATGGGGCCTAGTGTATTCTTAATTCACTGGATGGCGAGGGTGATCACACCCCTCATTTCAAATGTCCCGTTCCCACTGAGAGTCCCCCAGCACCCCCAACAACTCCCTCTTCTCTGGTTGCTTTACTTCCCTCCATAATTTTTATCACTCCCTGCCACACTACATAACTGGATTATTCACCTCCTGTCTTTACACTCCAAGGCTGAATTCCATGAGAGTGAAGATTTTTTTTCCTATTTCCCTTTCATTCGAGGTCTCTAGCTCTGGAACTGTCCTGGAGTATAGGAAGCCTAAATAAATACTAATATTTGATGGACGAATGGATGCTGGGCTTTGAACACTTGTTAGGAGCTGATAATTTCAGAGTCTATTTCCTTGGCCCTCACCCCTTCCCAGCTGCAGCCGGGGCAACAAGGTACACCCACTCCACCCTCCGTTCTGACCCTCAAGCTACAGCGCCATCTGTATCCACTTGATGGTTGGGAGCCTACTCCATGGAAGGAGGAAAACTTACTTAATACTTAGAGAAAAGAAATAAAGGCATGTTTTACTGGTATGAAATTGAAGGGAGAAATAAAAGTCTTTCTCATTTGTTATCAACCATTTCCTAAAAAGTATTTACAATTAAGAGTCAGTATGATTCAGACTTTGATTGAGGATATCTTGGTACCCAAGGTTATCACTGAGAATATGAAATTATTCTGATCCAGTAGCAGGGCTAAGAGGTTGAACTGACTGATTATTGACACAAAACTATACCTGGAAATGTAAATCATTTGACTTTATCATTATTTTTCCCTTTCTTATAAAAATAGAATGCTTAGGCAGGAAGGTGGCTTATAATTATAGGTGCTAATTAATAGTCAAATACTTGAGAAACTGATACACATGTGTATAAGGAGTTCATTTTTTAACACCAGAGAAAATCTGTAATCTATGACTTGAACTTGAACCCCAGCTCTTCTTATGCAAGAAACTACAGATAAGATCCAAAAGGCTTTACAGAATTTTAAGGAAGAAAAGAGACAAGTCAGAAGTGTAACAAAGCGGCCCCCGATGAGCCCATCAATTGCTCTCTGACGTAGGAGTGCAGCTCCTCAGCGAGACGCACAGGAATCAGGTGTGCAGCCCTGGCGCAGCCTCAGGGCTCAGATCCTGACTGTGCCACTGGCCTTGCAGCCGCAGGGCTAGTGAATTAATCGCCTTCAGCCTCAGTTTGCTCATCTGTCAAATGGGCATAATAATATCACAGTTTGACCACTCCAAGAAGCCACTGAAATGCAGCATCATGAACCAGGAAGAAAAAAAAGGTTGTAACTAATTATAAAATGGCCCACTGACTTGAAGACTTATAGGTACTTTAGAAATGTTTTGAGTTGCCACATAAAATACCATATGTCCAGTTAAATTTAAAATTCAGATAAAAAATGAATAGTGCTTAGGATCAGTTTATCTTATTTGGAGCATACTACTTGGGATATGTCTATACAAAAAAAAAGAAAAAATATTGTTTATTCAGATTTCAAATGTAATTGGGATCCTGCAACTTATTTGCTAACTCGGGTAATTCTAGTTATAAAGGCCAAAAATGTATGTCCTAGACTGGGTGAAACGTGGTAGCATATGCTGCACTGGCAGACACGGGCTGCATGGATAAACAGGAAAAGTCTCAGCCCGGCGTCTGGCACACAGTGGGCCCTCGGAAAGTGATAGGTAGTGCAAAGAGCCCGAACCACCAGCCTGCAGCCCCGGCAGGACCCTCTGTTCCTCCCCAGGCCTTGGCTCAGACCTTCTCGCCCTGAAAGAATCCAATATATTTATTCAGTGAAGAGAGGCTCCTTTTTCTTTCTTTCTGAATGGAAAAATACCCCTTTAAAAAATTCAGTGAATGGGGAGCTTCCACTTTGTTTTTCGCCCCCTTTCTGTACTGATTCCCCTGTTCTCAATGCTTTGAAATGCCCCCAGGGTTGGGGGGGAGTCTGTTCCCAACAGTCTCTGAAGTCTGGAAGGAGAATCCTTCCAGATAAGCCCTGACTGAGCTCCTCGCCTCCACAGAGCCTACACCCCTCCAGGAGCGCCTTGGAGTCTCTACCTTGGAGATCTCAGGTGTCTGCTCCAATTACATTTCCGCCCAGCTCCAGAAGTGCTTAATTAGCCTAATTGCAGGGCAGGGCAGCAGGCTGCCTGGGGAGGGGTGTTAACCCCGTGTTTCCCGGGCACACTGCAGGTTCCCAGGACTCCCGGTGGTCCCTTGAGCCAAGTTTTCTTGCAGTGGCCAGAACCCACTACAGTTGTTCAGAGGCCCATCTGTCTCAAAACAACACTAATGTAAAAATAACAGTAACATGTACGCACAGCCAAAAATTTTAAATAAGAAGTGGTATCAGTTGAATGCTATGTACAGTTCATTACATGTTTTACATAGATATATTCACCCATATGTCTAGTCCATTTATTTTGCACAAATGAAATTATACTATATGCATAGGTGACCTGCCTTGGTGGCTGAAAGGTACACCTTGTCTTTAATGTCTACACTTTAGAGTCAACTGTTCTTTCTTATAAAGCTACGTCATAGTCAATAGGAGGGACATGTCATAATTCATTTAATGAGCTTCCTATTATGAAACACTTAGGTTGCTTCCAGATTTGTGCCAGGCATCCCCCTCGCCGCCCCCATCCCCGCCCCAATAACATGCAAAGAAACAAATGAAACATGGAAACATCCCTGATCTGGTGGTGGTACAGCCGAGTGTTGTCTGGACCAATCAGCAGGCAGTGAGAGGGAGCAGGGTCCTGGGGTTCCCCAGGGGAACCAGTGTTAACCCTTTAGTTGCTGGATCCTGGGACTCCCCAGATGGCTCCAGGGAGAGGCCAAGGCAACCTGGGGGGGCGGGGTGGACTGATGGGCTAGGGGAAGCAGCTTTTGACCATCAGTATAGAAACCCTCCTGTATCTTAACGTCAATGTTTCTCCTGGTCATCCTTGTTGACTATCATCCCTGTTTGAGTATATCCATAGATTTCTAACTCTAGAATTCCTGGGTCAAACAGTATGAACACTTCATTTCAATTATCAAACTTTATCCCTATTATCAAACTTTTCTTAGGAGTATTTTCTTGTGCGGAATTTAAAAAATAATATTAATAGATGATATTTATGAGAGCCAGGCACCTGACTGCCTACATCTGATAGCCTGCAATCTCCCCAAGAGCGCTATGCGGCTGGTATTTTTACCACACCCCTTCACAGGTGGGGAAACTGAGACTGACTTGAATCACATAGCAAGCCAGAGGTGATGCTGGGTTTCAAACCTGTTTCCATAGGACCCTGCAGGGACCACTCCGTTGACTTTCTCCATCCTAAGGAGACGTGAAGAGGAGAGGGACGCCCACAGTTCTGGCCTCGAGGGGTCGTGAGCTCACGCAGACACAACACGCACCCAGGTATAGATGGAGATAAGATGCTGTGATGAGACCTAAGGGGACAAAGAGACGAAAGAATGCAACAGATGTCAGGGTGCTGTCAACAGGAATCCATGGTGTCACAGGGGAGCTCCCTGTGATCGGCTACATGGGCTTGCCTTCTTGGAGTCTTGGGTTCTTTATCAGGAAATGTGAACAATAACCCAGCCTAGCGGGGCTGCAAAGGGAACCGAGTTAACCCACATGAAGGACTGTGGCCTGGCAGGTATTCTTTGGTCTATGCGTAAGTACAAAGGCCCCTTCAAACTTTCAAGAACGTAATTCTGTGATATCAGAAGGGGGAAGCCAGTCCTTTAAAGACTGACCATTCTGCCCAACAATGCCCTAGTCCTCCCAATCACCACTAAAAATTAAAAAAACTCCCCAATGCTATAAAGAATTTTTATTCACCATAAAAAAATCAAGATATTTAATTATTTATTTATTTTTTTGCCACACTGCAAGCTTGCAGTATCTTAGTTTCCCGACCAGGGATTGAACCCAGATTGCCTGCATTGGAAGCTCATAGTCCTAACTACTGGACCACCAGGTAATTCCCTACACTGATAAGACTTTTTATATACTTTATCTATTTATTTTACTTCTTATATACTTGCTGCTGACGCCAAATATTCCATCACAGGTATCAGCCTGATCTTCCTACTATGGTCTATGAGGCTTCGACACAACGGGGACCACTTCATGCCTCGGATGGAAGGCCAGGAGTGGTTCTCTCTCCCCTCACTGTCTGAAGAGTGTCTGAAGTTGGTGTTTAAGATAGCCTAGGGAAGGAACACATTCCCAGTACATCCTTTACCTGTTCCCCATTCCGTCTTGCACGGAAGTACAGAGTCTGCACATTCTGGATGGTCTCTGTTTTCACTCTCTTCTGTCTCTATTCCCTTTCTGCCAGACTCAGGGTCTCTGCTTGTCGCTGAAGAATTGAGCCCACTTTCCTTGTTGAGCACAGTGATACCAAGGAAGTCCAGCGTCACCTTCTCTGGGAAGCCTCCCCTGTCTCCCTCCTGGTGGTCTGTCCCTGCTCCCCCCAACCCTTGTAGTAACCATGATCTCTGAACGCAGTGCCTTGTTTTGCTGGCTATCTGTCCCCACCATGGTCTATGAACCTCTGAAGGCAGCCAGCCATGTTCTGTGAACCAACTACATATCTAACATCTACCACTCGCGTGGCACTGACATCCTTCGCACTTAGCGAAGAGATGAACAAGTCTGGGAGGCCTTCACTTAAAGGAGCATCCAGGGCAGCATGTGTGTGTCTTCATCCTCCACGACCAGAGGTGGGCTGGGGGGTAAAGGAGGGACTGGGAATGTGCTCCTTCCCCAGCTGATCTCAGACGCTGGCTTCAGACACTCTCTAGGAGTCACGCAGTGTCCAGCATTACTGCAACTCACTCCTAGCGTCATGAGCGCTGGCTCCACCCCTGGAGTCCATGCTAAAAAAGACCTCAGGAAACAGGAATAATGTTAGTGATGAATACCACACTGGCCTCCCCACAAGGTTCCCAGACCCTCCAGGTGTTTCACCCAGTTGCTAGTGAACAGAAACGAGTTTCAGCCACATTGCTCTGCACACAGCTTTCTTCTGAAGTTCTCACCCTCTACTTTAACAGGTGTGCTCACAGGTGTCTTATTTTTCAAGTATCTGAAGCACTGTGAGACACTGACCTTGGCACTGATGGGCTTGGTAGGCAGAGACCATGGAGAAAGTTTTGTGGAAGTAGAGTTGGTTCGTGTGTGTGTGAGAGAGAGAGCAGGTGAGAGCGGGCAAACGCACCTGAGGAGGCAGAGCGGATGCAGGTCCGTCTACAGAAGAGAGGACAGACCTCCGAGATGATTCTGGTTTGGGAGGCTCCTCAGCATCTGTCATGAGTGACCATGGGTGTCAGGGTGGCGTCATCTTTCAAGCTGGGAGTGAGCAGATGTGTTTGGAGGGACTGGAGAGAGTGGGAAGGGGAGGCTGCAGCAGACCTGAGCTCTGGAAAAGAACCATCATCCCGTTCTCACCACTGAGAGGGAACCTGTGGCAGCACAGTGGTGTGTGTTCTTTAGAATTGCGTGTGTGTGTGTGTGATGCCATGTTGTACACACCCCTGCCCCACAGTTAGGTCAAGAACATTATAAGCATCCTTCCACGTCATTGAGCATGCTTTTATGCCTTGGTTTAGGGCTATCCAATGTTGTATTTCCTATTTTACGTACGCTGTGTGTGCTCAGTCGCTCAGTCATGTCCGTCTCCGTGTGACCCCACGGACTGTGGCCCACCAGGCTCCGCTGTCCATGGGACTCTCCAGGCAAGAGCACTGGAGTGGGTTTCCACGCCCTCCTCCAGGGATCTTCCCGACCCAGGGACCGGACCTGCACCTCTTTACCTCTCCTGCGTGGGCAGGGAGGGTCTTTATCACTGAGCCACCTGTTATGACGGGACTATAATGTATTTTTCCTTCACTGTGAGATATTTAGGTTTGAACCAGTAAACCACATTAACAAGTCCTGAGAAATAAAAACAGAATCCAGATAAGAAAATAAAATCTAACCTTTTTTCTTCCTCATCCTTCGTGTTCAGTCTACTTTGACTGGCTCGCAGAGGCCGCGCGGAGAGGCCTCGCACCTGGAGCTTCAGGCCCTTCGGCAGTGTGGCTCTGTGAGGAGCACTTGAGTGGACGCCCACCTCAATCAAGATGGCGGCGGGGGCTGCACACGAGACTCGAGTCCAGAGCCTCGCGAGAACTCCGCCCCCTCCCGGCTGCCAGTCAAAGGGCCGCGCACAGCCTGTTGGGAGAGCTCGCGCTCTGGAGCAGGAGCTCGCCCGGTAGTTTCTTTGGCGAAGATACGACGCTTTCTTTTGCTTCTTAAGGGAACTGGGTCTCCTTACATTGGCTCCAAGGATGCCGGGCGGGAGGGCCCTTGCTGGCGCCCCACTTGGAAGGTGGGTAACAGTCCATTTTCTGTTGGTCACTATTTACTACAGTGCAGTTTGGCATTTAAAAATATCGAATTACCAAACGGCATGTGGGAAAAGGCTTAGTTAGTGAATACTCATGCTTTTTATTTCTTGCTCTTTTCATTGTCATCGTTGGTTCATTTGGGAGTGTTGCTGTCTTGGCCCCGATCCCATGGGAAGTGTTTGGAGAGCAGACCGTTCCTCATTCTGATCTTTAGGTGCCCCGACATCAAGACGACACAGACCACATGGTGGGCACCCAGTCGGGGAGGTGAGGTGTGACGTGGCGCTGATGGGTACAGCACCTTAAGCATTCGTCACAGTTTGTTGTTGTTTCTAATTAAGAGGTAGGTTATTGAGATGCTTTTTTTGTTTGTTTCTAATTAAGAGGCAGGTTATTGTTAGTTTGTTTGTTTGGGGTTTCTTTGGGGGCCACATTTCGAGGCATGTGGAATCTTAGTTCCCACCAGAGATCTAACCCAGACCCTTGGCAGTGAAAGTGGGGAGTCTTAACCACTGGATCACCAGAGAATTGCTGATAACTTTATTATGAATAGGTCTGTTTTAAAATGTGTTTATATCATAAATGGCTCTATGGATTTTCACCCACTTGAACAAGCCTGAGTGAACAACCACCAGATAGAGACCTAGACTATTCTGGAACCCCAGAAACTCCTCTGGTACCCCCTTACATTCCACGCATTGTCTTCTGTTTGGTTCTGTATTGTTTTGCTTTGTGGTTATTGTAGGTGCTTTTGTTTTTCTTTTTTCAGATTCAATCTTAGGAAATGGAATCTTGCCTATAGCATCGGAAGGGCAAGCCCTCCTCATGGCGGGGGGAGGAGAGCTGTTGATGCAAATACAAAAAGGCACAATTTTAATAATAACAAAAAAAATTAAGGCATTTAGAAGAGCTGATGAGATGCAGTTGGAGGGTAAGAGCATTTACAGGAATGTCATCCTTTGAACCTCTTAGTTCAGACCTCTGCAGGAGAAAATTTATTCTTGGCATCGTCTGGCCCCCATGTTTAGTAGTCAATCATAGATTCATTTATTTTTCATTCTTCATTCATTCCACCAAGCAAATATGTTGATTGATTGCCATCTTCAGGTCTTAGGCCAATTGTGTTGCTGGAGAGAGAGCAGGATTCAGAATCAATAAAGGCCCTGCCCTCAGGGACTGACAAATAAATAAAAAAAGCATTGTTCTTGTGTTAGTCACTCAGTCCCATCCAGCTCTTTGCAACTTCATGGACTGTAGCCCGCCAGGCTCCTCCTCTGTCCATGGGATTCTCCAGGCAAGAATACTAGAGTGAGTTGCCATGCCCTCCTCCAGGGGATCTTCCCAATCCAGGGATTGACCCCAGGTCTCCTGCATTGCAGGCGGATTCTTTACTGTCTGAGCCACGGAGGAAGCCCAGGAAAAGCATGTTACATGTCAGATGGGTGCGGTGCTACCTGGAGAGGACAGGGAGCTCCAGCAAGTAGCCCTGTTTTCTGCAGGCAGGCAGAGGGGGACCTCCTCCCAGGGAAGCCTTTAGAAGAGGCAGATCCAGGAATAGTGTCCCAGCTAGGGCAGAGGCTCCAAGGCTTGAGCTACCAGTTGTATCTGAGGAGTGGGAAAGTGAAAGTTGCTCAGTCGTGTCTGATTCTTTGCGACCCCATGGATTGTAGCCTGCCAGGCTTCTCTGTCCATGGACTTCTCCGGGTAAGAATACCGTAGTGGGCAGCCGTTCCCTTCTCCAGGAGATCTTCCTGACCCAGGGATCGAACCGTGGGTCTCCCACACTGCAGGTGGATTCTTTACCACTGAGAAGTGGGAAGGAGACCCAAATGATTGAGGCCAGAGGATCAGGAGGAGGAGCTGGATGTGAGGTTAGGTTGTGTTTTAGTTTTATTTTTTGTACTGAATCTACTGTATGGCTACGATCTCTCCTGTGGGGCAGGAAGTATGCTGTCAGGATGTTCCAGGTGGGCCTTCAGTATGAGAGCACGAAGAGGAGTAGCTGAGATTGATTCTGGGGCCCAAGTGTGTTTCCCAGGTGCTGCAGGGGCGCCGTGTGTGGGCCTCGTGGGTGCTTGTGGCGACTCCGTGTTTACTCTGCGGGCCATGGGAGCCCTGGGGGTTGGGAACATAAGAGACACATGACCTGGACTGGATGACAAAGACCACGCTGACTGCCACTGAGATGTTACGAGGGTGAGAAGGCAATCAGGAAAACCAGTTTGGAGTCTAGTTGGGCTTCCCTTGTAGCTCAGCTGGTAAAGAATCTGCCTGCAATGCAGGTGACCTGGGTTCGATCCCTGGGTTGGGAGAATCCCCTGGAGAAGGGAAAGGCTACCCACTCCAGTATTCTGGTGTGGAGCATTCCATGGACTGTATAGTCCATGGGGTCGAAAAGAGTCAGACATGACTGACTGACTTTCACTTCACTTCACTTCAACACTCCAGAGGGGACCTTCCTGGTCCAGTGGCTAAGAGTCCAATGCAGGGGGCCCAGGTTTGATCCCTGGTCAGGGAACTAGATTCCACATGCCGCAATTAAGAGATCCTGCGTGCCACAGCTAAGACCCACTGCCACATCAATAAATATTAAAACAGACAAACAAACAACACTCCAGAGGAGAGAAGATCTCCCTCCCTGTTATTTATTATTGTTTAACAGATCACCCCCAAACTTGTGTCTTAAAACAGCAATAGTTTATTATTTCTCATGGTTCTGGGGGCTGCTCAGGCAGTTCTTTCACGTCACAAGTATCAGCTGGGTCCTATTTTCCTCCCATCTTTGTAGGCCTAGTAATTTTTTTTTTAAACCGTTCACCTATATGCATTTGACCTTGTTGGGTGTGAGGTGTTTTTAAGTTTCCATGAATATTCTCAAGCTTTGTTCTGGGATGCAGTTAAATGACCTGGAAATAGTTTGATCCTTTCAGGTCTTGCTTTTAAGATTTGTTCAGTAAGATCAGAGCAGTATTTAGCGTCCAAGGCTCATTATTCATTGCTACTGAGGCAAGACCCTTCCGAATATCCTGCCCATTGTCTGGAAATTGTGAGGGTGTCCAGTCTGGATGAATGAGCTCTGGTGTTGGTGTGTGATGTGCAAAGTTGCTTCAGTCGTGTCCAACTCTCTGCACCCCTATTGACTGTAGCCCTCCAGGCTTCTCTGTCCATGGGATTCTCCAGGCAAGAATATCAGGGGGGCTGCCATGCTCTCCTCCAGGGGATCTTCCCGACCCAGGGACTGAATACGTGTTTCTGTGTCTCCTGCATTGGCGGGCTGGTTCTTCACCACTGGCGTCACCACTCCAACCCAGGGTGGTTCTCTGTGAAGTCTTGTGAAGTTTCTTCTGGTGTGTGTGCTGACCAGTAGTCAGCCGATGCCTGCACATGGGTGCTTTGTCTCGAGTTCTGTCTCCCCACTGCGCTCCTCTCTCTGGTACCCTGCCCTCTGAACTTGGCCGCTTCAGTCTCCGGGCCTCTCAGCTCCACTCTTCAGCTCAGAGTCCATGCTGCTCCTCCTGGGCCCTCCCTCTCCAAACGTGTTGACTTTGAGATGCTTCTTAACCATCCAATGGGGATTCCTTGAAATGTTTTCTGGAAGAATCCATTACAGCAGCCCAGACTTCTCGGATCAAGGTGAGTCAAAGACTCAGGTGCATCTCCTGTTATATTGTTTATCCAGTGATTGCCTTGACATTTGAGATCTGACTTTGGGCTCAGTCTGGTCGCTGTAACTCCTTCAATTCTTTCATGTACTGGTGTTTGTTCTGGTTGACGAGCCTCAAAACTTTAGCTTTGTTTCTACCCTGTTCAGCTAAAGGAAAACATACTTTGGTGATTTTGGTTATTCCTTATTTTCAGCATAGATCACACTTCCCTGGTGATCCAGTGGTTAAGATTGTGCTCCCAATGCAGGGGGTCTGGGTTTGATCCCTGGTCAGGAAACTAGGAGCTTCCCAGGTGGTTCAGTTAGAGAATCTGCCTGCCAGCACAGGAAACTTGGGTTTGATCTCTGGATTGGGAAGTTTCCCCTGGAGAAGGAAATGACACTCTACTGCAGTATTCTTGCCTGGAGAATCCCATGGACAGAGGAGCCTGGTGGGCTACGGTCCATGGGGTCACAAAGAGTTGGACAGAGCACAGCGCACAGGAACTAGACCCCACATGCCACAACTAAAGAGTTTGCATGCTGCCCTGAAGATCAACAGTCCTGTGCGCAGCAGCTGAGACCTGGTGCAACAAATAAATAAATAAAAATAAATATTATTTAAAAGTAATAATAAAATAAATATACTTGAAAGAGGCTTTGTTTTTAACTAGTGGACCTCAGTGCTATTTGTTAGTAGTAGGGGTTTCCACGGTGGCTCAGTGGTAAAGAATCTGTCTGCAATGCAGGAGACCTGGGTTTGATGCCTGGGTCAGGAAGATCCCTTGGAGGAGGGTATGGCTACCCACTCCAGCATTCTTGCCTGGAGAATCCCGTGGACGGAGGAGCCTGGCGGACTACAGTCTATGGGATTGCAAAGAGTTGGCCATGACTGAGCGACTGGCTTTGGTAAATGACATAGTCTTAAAAACATTAGTTAGAAAGTATTTAAGGTATTCTTGTATCAGTCTCACTCACTTCTGCAGAAGCCAAGACTCTTGCTTGCAAATCACGGAAACCTCAACCTAGCATAAGCAAAAGTCCAAAAAGAAATCCCCTTACAAAATTGGAACTTGTAGGCTCATATAGATCCAGAGCTTAAGAGGAAAAGTGGCAGGGCCTGATTCCAGCCAAGTCTTCAGAATTCTCTCCCTCTTAGTTCTGCTTGCCTCTCCCTGTCTTCCTTCTCAGTCTGCTGGGCCCAAGTTTCTGTTGGCCTTTAGGTTTTGATCTCAGAGAGAAACAGAGAACATGTTCCCCAATACCTCTGGCAAAAGTCCTGTGGGCAGGGGGAGTCCCAGTTGCCCAGGCGTGGGTCCCGTGACCCCGCTTGGTGTG